CTCTCTCTCTCTCTCTCTCTCTCTCTCTCTCTCTCTCTCTCTCTCTCTCTCTCTCACTCACTCTCACTCACTCTATCTCTCTCTTTCACTTATTCTATCTCTCTGCGACGCACCACGCGCCACGCTACTATGTGTGCGCGCGCGCGCGCTCTCCTAACACGAATTCAAAAAATACGCACACGCAATCATATACACGTACGGAAGGGACATACGGGGGAAACGTACATATTATTACGCGCAAAGTGCTCCGATGATTCTAGCCGATCGGTCATCTATGCCGGCCAGGTATAGCCGGCAAGGATCACCTGTGAGCACCTGGTGTACACGCAAAAAGATACAAAGAAAACAAACACAATCACAACGATACAGAAGACATATATACAGGCACACGTGGAAAGAGAATCATAATTATATGCTGAACGCGTAAAGGGACGGAAGGTCGGTTGCAAAAGGGTTGAAAGGGGGGAGGGGAGGGAGGGGGAAACGAATCGCGTATGGGCCGAACGACAATACACGGAACTGTGGGAAGTGCAAACGAGAGAACAGTAGAAATAAAAAAAACCATCGGAGGAAGATGTGGGAAAGGACGTGCGACAACGCAAGAATACACACGATACCACATCGAGGACCCTCGTCGATCCCCGCGCGCTCGATCGTCGTGGCATGTGTGTGTATGTGTGTGTGTGTGTGTGTGTTCGGTCCAGGGCTCTAGAATCGAGACGAGCCTCGCAGATGCGGAATATGGGAACGAAGCGAATTTACCCGCGTGAGAACAAGAGAAATTAAACACAAAAAAGTAGCTGTGGTAGACGCTGCCGTGTATCGCGATTACCGAATCGTCGCCGCCGCCGCCGCCGTCATCGCCGCCGCCGCCGCCGCCGTCGTCGTTGCTGCTGTATGCAATATTCATGTGCACTAATTCACTGCCACTGCAGTTCGTGTTTTATCGTTGTATATAAAAAAAAAACTTTCTATGTACGGGCTCGATTTAAGGCGAGAAGGGCTCCTGTCACGTGGAAAATTGAGCAGAAAAGGCGCGCGCAGCGTCAGCCGCACAAAAAACGCCCGCCATTCGTTACTCTCCTTGGTCTCGTATCACTTTTTTTCGTTTCCTTTGGCGTATTCTCTCCTTGATTTTTTTTTCTTCTTCCCTGTGTCCTGTTCGGATCAGGTATGAAACCTTGAAAGATATCCTTTGTTCGTTGGTCGGCGATCCTCTAGAGTTGGATATGAACGGTCGATAACTACGCGTTCTCTCTTACCGACTGTGCTGAATGATGCGCATCGACCTGAAGCGACACGATTTTGCATGCGCTCTCGGTTTTATTTTAGCCTCGGGGGGGTTGAACGGAACGTTTGTAATGCGGTTTATGTGACTGTACACGTGTTTGCGAGTTTTATACAGACTGATTCTAATCGCGGTGACGTTCGATTATGAGAACGATACGGGACGTCGTGTGTCGTGTCGTGTCGCCTAGGGACTTAGAGATACTTTTCATACATTTCCGGAGTCCTTTTGATTACGCACCTATTTCGAAACGATTTTCCCTGTTTTGGTACGCTCGTTTTGAATTGTTAATCGATTAACGTGTATAAGCTTGTGTGTTTGTGTAGTATTGCTGGGTTTCCTTCGGACGGGAATCATTGGAAATTGGTCATTGAAATCATTTCAGTTGAACGAAACGGTACATCGAGATCTGTTTCCAGCGAGACGCGTTAGCGAATTGGAAATATTTGTTTGAAATGCTCGATTGACTAATTTCGAGGGTATTGTTTGTGGTACGTTGCATTTGCAGTGATTGTTTAAAATATTAATTCTTTTAATTATCATTTTTTGTAGGAAGTAGGTAAGAGTACGATGAAAAAAGAATTTTCCTTTATTTTGCGTTGACTAATGAGAAATGAGCATAGTGAAAAGACACGTCGTTTGGGACAGTAATAGCTGTGTGTATTTGTGCACATTCGCGTACGCAATATATGTGTATAGATATATTTACACATAACTAAATATTAAGTCAATTATGTTAGATTGTGTACAAATTCACGACAATTGAAAGTCGAGAAATGTTTTCACTTCTGATTAGGAAACCACACATTATTATTCGTTTCTCGGAAGCTTTTAGCTAATTATACATCGTGCTCATAGTTTTTACGTTAGATCTGCAGAGTCAAATAAATATTTCAAGTTTTGGTTTTTTTATTTACATGCACGTATGAATGAAATTCATTCGACGAACATACTTGCAAAAATATACATTTTTTTTCATTTCAAGTCTTTGTCCAGTACTGCTACTACGACAGCGTTTGAATTATCGAAGCAAAGTCGCGCTAGGGATTCAGAGAATGAAATGTTGTCGAATGTAAAGAGTAGCGAAACAAAAATTGTCCGAAAGCAGAGCATAAGCGACAATGGAAATAGAGAATCATTATTGTTCAGAAAGCGTTCGTTACAAAATCCACGCGTATGACACTTCGTTGCGACGATCAGATTCTCTGTCTCCTTTTTCCGTTAGCTGACGATCCTTCTCACCTACATACGAGAAATCCTAATAACGAGGACGAAAAGAAAATTTTCGGAGATGGTGCACCGCCTACTTATTAACGTTCTTTGATCAAGAACTTGGAATTCGAAGAAAATGAAATTCGAAGACATTAA